TATAAAAATTTGATTGAGGAGTTTCATAAGTTGATTAACAAAAGGACAAAAAAATTGTTGCTATAAAAACACATAAAAAATGGAACAATATCATATAAGAAAATCAATAAATTAATAATTTCCATCTAGCCTTAACAGATATGGTAAAGAATTCATAAATTCAAACTAACACAAAGCACAGATACTAATGATGATCTACATGTGTGGAAACAATTTTGGAAAATATATCAGCTATACAAAACCAGTCATCAAAATTTCTAAATTCCATCATGTTTCCATGAAAACAGCAAAAGAGAAAACTTTCAGAATCTTATAAAGGATAAAAAACAATCATAGTGGTTAATGTAGCAAGTTTGCTGAAGCTAGGATACATAATATTGTAAACATGGATCGTACAAAAACTCTACCCAAAATTAATGTTTCACCATGATTCCATGGAAACGGCAAAAATAAAAAAATTCAGAATCTTCAAACTAGCAAAAGGCACAAGTACTCATTGTGGTAAATGGGTGTAGCACGTTTGGTGAAGCTAGGGTGCATGGTAAAAAGATATGGGCCGTACAAAACACCCACCCTAAAAGTTTAAGTTTCTAATGTTTCCATGGAAACGGCAAAAATTAAAAAATTCACAATCTTCAAACTAGCAAAGGTCTATTTAGGTGGTTAATGTGTGTAGAAAGTTTGGTGAAGCTAGGGTGCATAGTTAAAAAGATAAAGGCCGTACAAAACACCCGCCCTAAAAGTTTAAGTTTCTTAATGTTTCCATGGAAACGGCAAAAATTAAAAAGTTCAGAATCTTCAAACTAGCAAAAGGCACAAGTACTCATTGTGGTAAATGTGTGTAGCAAGCTTGATGAAGCTAGGGTGCATGGTTAAAAAGTTATGGGCCATACAAAAGCTCAGACGGAAGGACAGACGGACGGATGGAACGCTATATACCCCCCGATAAACGGGGGTATAATTACTTCAATTTAGACTCATTAAGGATTAGCCCCCATACAAGCTCGTCTATAGTGACACCATAATCTCTTTAAAAACACCCAGTAAATATGTCAACAAGATTAGTGCCAGTCCATCAGGATTAACAGGATTAAGTATTCCCCTCTGTCTAGCCATTCATTAACCATAAGGCACACCCCACCGTGTATCAACCAATCATATTCCTTTTTATTGTTCTAAGTTTTGTTAAATACATACAGAACCAAAATGTTAACATGGTTAAGCAGAAGGGGTTTGTCGCTCTAACCAAACACATCTCTCTCCCACAGCCCACAGGGTTGTACTGACTCTCTGTGGCACCCTCAGCTATAGTTAAGATATTGTTCATTGTTAATTGTTATAGTAAATAAAATTGTGATTAGTCTCCTGTGACTCCGGCTCTTTGCTGACTAATTCCCCCAAGAAAATCAGCACGCCATTTGGAAGGTTTTGTTCATCCGAGCAGAACCATATTTATTTCCTCAGCTTAATCTAACAGCTGTTTTCTATCAATTTTGAATGTGTTCTTTAACAATGGAAGATTAAATCTTTTCGGTAAGATAAATTTGTTGTGGCAGTATCACTCGGGGTAGCAGTATCACTCGGGGTACTCCCTCTTGCTCGTGGTATAAGACCTAATGCGAGATGTACCCCTTGTGATACTGCTAAAATATATAACATATCCCCAGTGATACTGTTACAACTTACAATGCACAAATGGGTGAGCAATGAGCCAAAATGACAAATTCAATAATGTTATCATAGCAGACATATAAAGAAATTATAAGACTTTTGAAGCACACTTTAGAGACATAATGCAAAGTTTCAGCTTCATGGGGATTAAGGAGTTTAAAAACACAGTACAATTAAATGAACTGAAAATGAAAAGATTAAAGGCCACAGCAGTGTAAAAAATCAAAGTAGGGTGAAAAATGTATTATGTATCTTATTCACATACCATCAGTAGAAATATTGTATATAATAATGTTTCATAATGATATACTAAAAAATGGTTGACTTTTATGCTTGTTTTGTTTTGTTTGTTTGTTTAACGCCACACTCAGCAATATTCCAGCTGTATGACGACATTATGTAAACAATCAAGTCTGGACCAGACAATGAAGTGATTAACATCATGAGCATAGACTTTTATGCAAAAATGTAACCTTGCAGTCAAACAAACTTGTACCGGTTATGTAAATATCTTCCCCCATCACTACAGAAGGTAGAATATAAATAATGTACAAACAGGAATACAATCAACAGACTTTGACAACATCTGCCCACAATCTTCTTTACGATACATGTCACACTTGTGGCAATATAGCTAAATAAACAGTTAACTGGAAATCCAAAGTGCAGCACAGAGATACATTGTATTTCTTTTCATCTATATATATGCAATGGAAATGCCTTCACTCACAGGCTGGTTGCTGGCTAAAATTCTACTGCAAAAGCTTTATGTTGTATAGAGGTGGATCAGTTTTCCCTGAATCTCACTGAAACTGATGATCCTGATGAAATTGATGTTTCATTTAAAAATCAATAGTAATTTGCAGTACATGATGGAGATAAATGTCATATTTTGGCATTTGTTTTCTCACAAAAAATCATTAAAACTGCAAATCTGATAGGTACGATTTTCTCAAGAATAATACAAACCTTTTTTCTTTTAGGTCGATATCGATAGGACCATTTCATCATTCTACCCGGTTTCCAAATGGATAGAACATTTTTGTCACCACTTACAATTATAGAACAGTCAAGAAGACAGTCTTCCAACCTTCCAATACTTAATAGGTTTCACTAGTCTTTTTCCAGGGGACATATTCCATCTGTTTTCATTGTACATCTATAACACAAACTGATGCAAATATGAAATAACAATGAAACCCTGAAGGTAGTGCAAGATGGGAGGAGAACCACACAATGGACCAGCCAAATATGATGGGGTCTGCCCATTTCCATATAAGAGAGAGGTCAGGTGCAGAAAGTCCCTTTTCTTTATGAGAAAGTTTCAGGGTATCAATGTCAAAGCCAGGGGGTCCGCTTTCACTCAACAACCTTTGTTACCATCAACTTTAGAATGACCACAGCTATTTCTTTTCCACTTGAAATCTTAGCTTAGCACAATGCATTGTAAACAGACTTGGATTAAAGATCAAAATCTTCAATTGTGAAGTTGGTGAAATATGTTGGCATTGTTCTTGACTGGGCTCCATGTTATAGCAAAAGCATGCAGCTGACAGCATTCACACTGTGGAAGCACTTGCCACATATGTAAATTAAGTTAGGGTACCTTTAAAATGTTATTTACTGTCAAGCAAAAAGAATTCATACAATCTTAAAAACATATTTTAAGGGACTTCTTCTAAGACCTTTTAATTTTAAATTGGTTTACCTCATTTTTTTCCCAAAACATATGGCAAACGTTTTGTGTCACTTAATTATTTATGTTATATGTTGGACATTTAAATAACAAAATAAAATTAACAAGCTTGACAATGTGTCAGACCTCTGTGTGTGCTCTTTTCTAAACAATTTGATTTTATATTTTTCAAGGTGTCATTTAGATGGTTTCACCAGCAATGTTTGTCTTGACATCTGACATGAAAAAAAACCTCTCGTCAAACTGACCTGTTTATATCTGTCTTGAACTTCATCATTTAGAAGAATGTCTCTTACTTTTGGCATTGAATTTTTCCTCAATGTGTATACACAACAGCGTGAAGGAAAAATAGTAAAATATCTTTGTTCCATCATCATCATGAGAGAGAGAGAGAGAGAGAGAGAGAGAGAGACAGACAGACAGACAGACAGACAGACAGACAGACAGACAGACAGACACTAATCCCTATTTCATAGTGGCAGCCTACCCAGATGCCATGGGTGGCCAAATACATCAGTTGAAATAAAGGACAGAAGTACACAATAATAGTCAATATTAAATATTACTAACAAAGGTAAAAAAACAAAACAATGTTTCTAAAGAACGTCAGTGCTTACAAAGGGCATTTTTCTAAAGGTCCCGCTTTTCCAGGTGACATTGACTAAATGCTTCACAGAATGGCAAAATGTTCATGACGTCACACAGTGGGTGCATGAGGAATGACGCAATACAAATGCTTTGATCACCTCGCTGTCTTGTTGCTTAATTCCAATATTTATTATGTACACAGCTGAACAAGCAGATTAAAATTAGAATGTTGTACAAATTGCAGCGCAATCTGGCACTCTGTATTGTCAACATTGACCTTTTGCATACTTGGTGTTCTTTTTTTCTTTCTTTCTTTTATTAATAAAAAGAAGTACCTGTTACACAAATGGGCTTCCACCCAGGGTAGCAGAAAACACAGCACAACTTATCAGTACATCTTAGATTTTGTGATGAATATAACATACTTCTCACTCACATTCACTCTAGTAATACAAATATACTGCATATGTCAAGTAAAACATAAAAAATTATAAAACTCCTAAATAGCAAAAGGCACTAGTTCAGTATGTGTCTGGTAAACATGCAAAGTTTTGTAAGAAATTATTTAACGGTTTTTGAGTTACGCTCCGGAAACGAACAGCACCCTTGTAGAACCTAAGTCCAACTTGTTGCCATGGAAACGTAAAAAATAAAAATTAATAAAATTCCTAAATAGCAAAAGGCACCAGTTCAGCATGAGTCTGATAGACATGCAAAGTTTCGAAGAGAAATATTTAACGGTTTCTGAGTTATGCTCCGGAAACGATTTCAGGATGCACACGCACACGCACACGCGCACGCGCACGCGCACGCGCACACACACACACACACACACACACACACGGACGGAACCCATTTCTATATCCCCCGCCAACTACATTGGTGCGGGGGATAAAAATATTAGGAATGTAAACACTTTCCGGCTAATCAAAGGCAGGAGAAGTTTAACATGCAAGTCATACACTATTTCCCAACAGAGGAAGGACATCATGCTCTACCATTAGCTCAATAAGCTCACATTCCTGTAAACAATAGATTTTCTTACCTTAGACCACTTTGAGTTCAGACTTCTGGCCTTTTGTGCATCTTCAAGACTTCGTTGATACTGGTTAACTTTGAGAAATGCAGCAGACCGATTGGTGTATAGGATGTGATTGTTAGAGTCGAGATGGATTGCTTCTGAATATAGCTGAATTGCACGGTGGTAGTCCCCATTGTTGACAGCTTCATTACTTTCCCTTATTTTTTGCAAAAAAAGAGCCTGATTGTTTGGGCTGTCTCGACCAACAGTATCCATTTCTCCGCCAAGTGCACCAACATTGGTCTGCAATATACAATTAGAAATCATATCAATGACAGTTTGATGCCTGTAACAGAAGGAAGCTCATATTATCCCCAACATTAATTTCAAATGCCCCACTACCACATAGCCATGTGGGGATGAAGGGGCGACATGAAAATCGGGCCTTTTTTCTGTAATTAAAAAGAATTAAAGAAAAGAAATATATTTGAAGAAGAAGCTCAACGTCATGGACAATACACGTTGAATATGCACAATTTGTCAAGGCAATTGAATCAGTCTATTTAGGATATAACTTAGTATTCAGTCTGTATCAGTTAAATACATGTTGAGAGTTGCATCCCTTTCTTAGTCGCACTCTAAAGAACAACAGAATACATATACATGTATTATGATATTTTTAGTTTACAATATATTTATGTGAGCATGAACAGGGTCTTCTTAACATACCCTAACACATTTGACAAGTACCGTAAGCATGTGTAGACAAACTTGTATACTCAACCCATTACAAACACCCTATTTCGAACATGTCCTGACAACATTTTTTAGTGTTCCAAAACACAAACCTTATTTGTAGAAAAGAAATATATGCACATACACTGAAAGTTTGAGGAGAAGTGGTTGGCAGAAAAGCTGTTGTTTTCACTTATGTGAGCAGCTGCAGCAGCCATTTTGAATTCTTCAAAATGAAAAGTTTACTTCATTGTAGCTTGGGACTTGTAAAAGATGCAAAGCGAAAATATTGATATGTATCTCAGCAGAAAAAGAAATTTTAAGTTTCAAAGCAAACAGAGACCCATAACATAGACACATATTGAAAAAGAAATCATAAGCATAGCACTTTGTTATATTGTACCAGTTAGTATTTATGTATATTATACATGTTATAGTTTGATATCATCCAATCAGAAATCACAGCATGAATGAATCCCATGGTTTTATTTGAATCATGAAAACAATATCGATCGTACTAACATACAATGGTCAAATATCAAAATCTTAGACTCATTGTGAGTATGGCAGTTATTGTATATGTATTCATTCTGATATAAATGGGGTCCATTTCAATGTGTCAGCCGCAGTGATCTGAGTGTTGTTACTGTCAATAATGGGGATCTCTCACACAGTTTCACCTAAATGAGTGTTAACAATATTCAATGAATTTTTAATGAAATGAATGAAATAGATAATATATGTAAAGCCAGAAATATACTGACTACTTTAAGTGACATCATAGCATAATAACAGAACTAACCAGGGTACAGTACCGAATTGTTGACATGCTATTTCCGGTGATACATGATTGCAGTAATGTCCTTACTTGCTTACTGTGTCAAACAATTCAAACAAGAAACTATGTTAGTTAGTACAGAGGAACTCAACACATATGTTCCATGTTTTTGCAATATTAGAAGTTTTAACCTTGTTTTAACTTCCTTTTGACTTTGTCTTAAGTTTTCGTCCTCAGTATTTATGCAGAAACAATTTGATTATCAATGCTGACAGCAACCTTTCGACATATAAAACTGCTGTCTATTTATCCAGGTTAGCTACAGTGCCATGGCCATGACAGTTACATCAGGTATCTAATGGTCCTGAAAAGAATGCCAGTTTTGTTTCTAAACTCTCAATATGAATCATTTACATACACTTGTGGCAGTATGAAGCCAAAAGAAAGTCCAAGATCATAGGAAATTGTCATGTTCTAAATTGTTGTTAAAATTGAAACTAATTCAACCTCTTCAGCAAAGCAAAGCAAATAAGCAGCATTTAAAGTTTTCTGAAAACTTTACTTTAACACTTTGACAATATCCCATTTGCAATTGACCAGAAGAACCCAATAAAGCACTTCCTAATACCAATGAACCAGTCCTTGAACAAGACACAGATACTGACCAAAGATTGACATTGCACTAACAGAAAGAAACACAGTTAACACATACTGACAGTTATAAACTAATACAAACTCCACAGAACCGACAGATATAAAGGACATAACTGCACTGCACATTATCATGATGATGATAATGGTATTTTGAAAATATAAACATTTATCAGACTTTCCCAATTGCTAGTGTTACCTGTAATTCATAATTACAGGAATATCAGTGAAAGAGTATTTCAGAAATGTCATTTTTTTGTTGATATTTATTGCTGAATTTGCAAAATTCACTTTCACAATCTAATTTTTATACCTCAGTCCACCTTAGGATTTCTATCTAAGAAATTCAACAAAATACTTTAGCCAAGAAAAGGGTATTCAGCATCAAGACTGTCATCACTTGTTCGTAAACATAACGGTATCAGTCTGCAAATTTAAACTCCATGCATGGTTGTGGCTAACCTTGTACAAGTGGGAAGCTGTGACTGATGGTAGTGATACTGTAGACATATATGCGGAAGGGGTAACATTGTCAGAAGCTTCCAGCTTACAATGAACACTTCCAGAAGAAATTATCTCCCCTTGATGTGATTGTTTTCCACTTAGGGCTCCAAGCTGAAAGCTGTAGAGCCATATTGTAATCGTTCGATTTATTATAAGGGCTCCAAGCCTGAAAGCCTAAAAAGCCTTACTGTAATCATTCAATTTATTATTATTGGGGCTCCAATGGATATGGATAGAGCTTTCACTCAGTTGGTGCTGGTTTGGCCAGCTGACAGAAATAGAAGATCCATTCTAGAAGATCTTCACTGCATGGATCCCATTTTGTTAATTTAATGCATCATTGTGTACTCTTTATCCCTGGCGGTAGGCATCCATGATTAAGTGAAGGGTGATAAGTGACAAGTATATGACTTCACAATGAATACACAAACACCACGATCACAGATCACAGTGATCATCATGCAATAACACACTGTAGGTAGAATAAACCATGAGGGGTTACAAGCTGTGCTACAACCAGTGGTCCAAAACTGCGAATTCCCTTGATGTCTTCTAAAGCCACGTCCCTCAGATAGTGGCTGCTGAAGACCGAGTCTGACCTCCAAAACATCCTTCCATGATGGCTCTCATAGAACAATTACTGTGTGGAGCCATCATCGAGGCAACAGCCTCAATCTCAAGGGGGTTATTAGCTATTGGTGGTTCAAGATTAGCAATCTTGTTAGCCTGAAGAATGATAGCTCGCAACCATAAGGAAATGATATTGCGGTTGACTTTGGTCATGGGCGTCTCATAAACAGGGATAAACAATCGTTTCCACTTACCACACCTAGTCTTGGAAAACTTGCAGTACATGCATTGGGCATAATATGAGTTAATCCTTGTCTTCCACTCCCTTGATGGACGATAAAGGTGGGATAGTGAAAGACCAATAAAATCAAAGCATAACCCAAGGTGGACCGCTCCCTGCGTACCCCGCTCAAAGTGTACATGTATGAGTGATATCAATCGCATGAATCTTGCTCACTCTTGCTGCCGTGGTCTTACAATAGGTTTCAAATGATAACCACTGATCATTGTAAAGGCCTCGAGTCGAGGGTCTATGTGTTATAGCAATAGCCTTGTGCCAAATAGCCTTTCCTGTCCCGGGCTCTTTGTAAATGAAGCAGGCATGTAGATGAAACCTGCCTGGCGTGGAGTGTGGTTGCCTGCTGTATGAATGCACCAGTAGGTTGGGCCACCCCGGTAGAAGTAGTGGTTCGCTTCCTGCAAGGTTTTTAGGACCACGAAAGACCCTCTCGACGGCCACCAAGGCATGATCAAACTCTAGGTTGTTGATCACAGCACTGACACTGTCTGGTCCTCCAGATAGATGTGCACCCCAAACCTACAGAGATGCATCTACAAATAGGTGTGATGCTGGAGATAGCTATGGTAAGGAGACACCTCTTACGACGTTCAACTCTACTGTCCACCAATTGAGGTAAGTCCTGAGATGGGCGGCACTTGTGGTTGTGCGTCAGTAGATGACTGTGAAACATGTGGTTTTGAAGATATCTGTGGTTTTGAAGATATCTGTGGTTTTACTATTCCCGTTTCGCCTGTGTTTGTTTGCGTTATTAATTCAGTGTTAATATCTGAATTTATACCTGGTTTTTGTTAATCGGAAGCAATAACAATTTTATTATTATAACCGATCACTTAACCGATCTTAAGTTCCATATTACTTGGAGACATGTATAGTCCTGCCCCCAAATGTAGTCTCCTCTCCAATCGTTACTTGAAAGTACCCAGCCGTGATACCAATAATGCATTTTTGAATAAAGATCATGTATTCCTACATAAAGTTTGTTTGTCTGTAACAACCTAAATGGATTGAATGGTTTGGGGTGAATTTGGTGAACTAAATCATCGCTTTCTTCTTTAACAGTTTTTTGTCCATTGTACGGAACACATAGACCATGGTTAAGTCCTTTAATGCGCCAATCTTTACTCATAGAAATATTAAATTCCTGACAAATACGCTCATACGCGAACCTATTGTACAGATTATTTAAGGAATTCCATGCTCGATCCTGTGGTAATGGGGTACTAATTTCTTTAAGTATACGTCTAATCTGATAGTACATGTGAAATGATAAAACAGACTTATTTAGTTCAAATCCTGGGGCATAAAGAGATACACCACATCTTGTTGAGGCACACCATATGGCAAAGTTTAACTGGTTCTGCCAAAATTACATTGGATTGTGGAACCAATCATGCACCATTTTATCGCTAGTTGCTGTGACCCTGTATTTTTCAAAGATATCGGGGAAATGAACAAAAAACTTAGCACCAGAGGCACTTACTGAAATCGACTGATTAGTAATGTAAGTTGATTTCATATTTAAGTTATGATATAGTATCTTTGCATATTTAATATGTATGTTACACTCCCAGGAATAACAAATGGCCAGTCTATTCAACTGCTTCATGCTATCGATAACTCAGCTGGGAAACTTGAAGTCGCTCTATGTGATGTAACGTATTACCCGCGGTGGACCAATATAAATGCTGTGAGAGATAATAATGTGTTTGCAATAGGTGGCAAACACCACACTATATCTGATGGGTATTACAGTGTATGCTCACT